CAGCTTAGAGGGAACACTGGTACCCAGTACTTGTGCCAAGCAGGCCTTGTAGAATTGACAGAACTCCCACTTGCTCTCGGTTGTCTCAGTCCAGTGTCTGAGCATCTCTGGTCTGTTGGTACCAAGTAACCAGAATGCAGAATTCCCACACCTGTATTGCGAGGGCTGGCTCCAAGACTGTAGGCCAACCTGAATGACATAACTGTGGACAACACAACTGGGGATTTTTTTGAAGCAGCATATTGCAGACAGGGGCAATAGCTGGATAGGTACAATTTAAAGAGCTAGGACTGCAAGGTCAAAGATTTTTATTATTTTTTTAAGTGCAGGGCTGTGCTCTGACAGGCTGTGAGGTGCTCCTGCATTATGAAACCCTTTTTTTATTGCCCCTGCCCAGTGCAATTTAGGTGATAGCTTGTCTGCCTGGGGATTTGAATCCTAAAGTCAATGTCTGCTTGAGGTCACGGTTTTCAAACTTACAGGCAGTTGCAAAATTCTGGCTGTGCTCAGGGAGGGTCTGCCTCTCCAGGAGCAAGCCAGAAGGAACATAAGAACATAAGAGAAGCCAGTGATGGATCAGGCCAACGGCCCATCCAGTCCAACACTCTGTCACACAGTGGCTAAAAATACCAGGTGCCATCAGGAGGTCCTTCAGTGGGGCCAGAGGACACTAGAAGCCCTCCCACTGTTGCCCCCCTCCCCAAGCACCAAGAATACAGAGCATCCCTTGCCCCAGACTGAGAGTTCCTATCTATACCTTGTGGCTAATAGCCACTGATGGACCTCTGCTCCATATGTTTATCCAATTCCCTCTTGTAGCCGCTACCACCTCCTGTGGCAGTGAATTCCATGTGTTAATCACTCTTTGAGTGGAGAAGTACTTCCTTTTATCTGTTCTAACCCGACCGCTCAGCAATTTCATTGAGTGCCCATGAGTTATTGTATTGTGAGAAAGGGAGGAAAGTACTTCTTTCTCTACCTGCTCTATCCCACGCATAATCTTGTAAACCTCGATCATGTCACCCCTCAGCCGTCATTTCTCCAAGCTAGAGAGCCCCAAGCGCTTTAACCTTTCTTCATAGGGAAAGTGTTCCAACCCTTTTATCATTTGAGTTGCCCTTTTCTGCACTTTTTCCAAAGCTATAATATCCTTCTTAAGGTGTGGTGACCAGAATTGCACACAGTATTCCAAATGAGGTCACATATCAATAAAATGGCTCAACAGATATTATATCTAAACTTCTACCACAATCAATAATAGTTTCCACCAACTTACCCGGTATCGACATTAGACTGACTGGCCTGTAATTTCCCGGATCTCCTCTGGAACCCTTTTTAAAGATGGGAGTGACATTAGCTACCTTCTCCCATGATCAGGACACAATGCTTCTGTTAATGTATTCTAAAATTGCATTAGCTTAACCTGGGATCTTCCCCAGAAAGCCTTTGATTTTGCTTCCATTTGTAGATTCTGTGTCAGTGAAAGCCGAGGGATATGAAGCTCTATGAGTTTCTAGAAGGTTCAAATATGTGAAAGCCTAATTCTGTCACTAAGGGAAACATCACAAGAAAACGAAAATGGCATTGCCATCAATGTTCCCTCTAAGCTGTAGAGTCTTGTGAGCAAAACTTCTACTTTGTGAGCTATTGGCTTTAAAGTTGTAAGCGAGCGATTTGGCTGCTGCATAACTTAGTTTGCTCTGGAGCCATCCTTCCTAAGCCAAGACAAAAACGTGTGCGCCGGAGGCTAAAAAACTGTGAGCTGGCTCACACAAACTCAGCTTAGAGGGAACACTGATTGCCATAATTTGCCATGGCTCAAAAAAGTTGATAAACTTACTGTAGGTTATCAGGTATGTGACCAGAACTGTGCTGCATTCATTGCGCCATCTGAGCCTGCATTCGGACTGAACTTTCACTGAAGAACTGTTTCCCACCTTTAGTAATTTCTTCCTAAAGCAGAAACCTGAGAAGGCAAAAGGCCCACCGGTCTTCTCAAATGATGCACTTGGTTGAAAGCATATGGCAAGAACAGGAAGCATGAATGTTGTGGTGGAATGCTCTCGCGTCAAGTCACACGTGGAAGCTGTGACATGGTACCTGTTTGATGGCAAGAGGTACGCAAGAAGCAGCTGGCCTTGCAATTCTGTTATGATTTTCATGGCGTGACTACACTGGCCCGACAAACATCACCAAACTGTGTGGCTGGCTGCTTCTCAGGTATATCACGATGGCGCAAGACCTCCACAATAAGTACATGCTGGGGAACAGAGAAATTAGTAACAAACATTGTGTATTGATGAAATAATTAAAACAACGATGACAGTCCGTAACACAATTCAGTGAGTGCAACAACTGGACAGAAAACATCAAAAATAACCTGTCCCAATAACTAGCAATTTAACTGTTTCTTTTAAAGACTCTATGGATGCCAAACACATGCCGATAAGGGCAATTTCTCCATTACTGGTATCTTCCCATTTTATTTACACCACCCTTCTTCCAAGAAGCCCAAGATAGTGTATATCATTCCCTGCCCCCTTTTATCCTCACAACAACCCTGTGAAGTAGGTTAGGCTTGAGAGCTGACTCCTGGCTTGAGATCTTGCAACTATAAATTGGTACCCAGATTTACAAAGTTTGTGGCAGGGTGCAGATCTTTGTGGTCTTAGTCCAGCTCTCGGACTGTTGTGCTGTACCAGCATTCCACAAATAAGGATCATTCTAAGACGATTAATGGGCCAGCCTCTCACTGGGAATTACTCAGAATATGAAGAGAGGTCCCTGCCCGTATGAGACATCAGTGATACTTCTGTATTGCGCTACGTGTATATTTGGTATCTTATCACAAGTCTTTTTCTCCCATTGTGTCAATACAATCTTACAGTTTTTAGTGTTTACTGGTGACAGCTTCATTCCTTGTCATGCTCTTATTTTGGGGGTCGGGAGCATTCTGGGGTTCTTGCAGCACTCCATGTTCTCTTTCTTCCCCCAACCCATTTTTTTTAAAAAAATCATTATTGGTATATATTGTCATGTGGAATAGCTGAAAATGCAGTTCCGCAGGGCCTGCAAGACGGAGCTCTTCCGCCAGGCCTTTGAGTAGGAGCCGCCGCCCCACTATACCACCACCGTCATGGTATCTTAAGGATGCACGGACGAGGCCCTGATGAAGACCCTGGAATATGTAAAGAAGATCTGATACGCTGTCGCCATTCATGGGAGTACCACCTGGAACTGTGTTGATTCCATCTTGGATTATGATAACAGTGACTGAGCACCGTTGTTGTTTTTAAGTGTTTAGTTGTTTTTATTATGTTTTAGAAGTTTATTTATGGCACGGCTGATTACCTTGCCCTTGAGAGCCGCCCTGAGCCCATTGGGGAGGGCGGGATACAAATGTGAAAATAAAATAAAATTGGGCTCAAGTGAGCGGGTCCTGCTGCGCCAAGTCAAGAGGCGGGTTACCGCCTGTCCTTGGGGACAGTGAGGAAAGGAACTTGCCTAAAAGACACCCCCGTCAAAACCCAGCGATCGTTTTGTTCTTCCCCTGCACGGGATGAAGTTGAGGGGGGCGCGGGGGAAGAGCCTCAGTCCTGCACAGTCACGACCACCTTACGTTATGGATCAGTGGACCAATCAGAGGGGCCGGGATAAAATGCTGACACCAGCTAAGCAGAAAACAGGAGGACGTGTTTGGGAAGGAAGGACGGGTAGTTAGCAATCGACAAAATGGCCTTCAGGGACGTCCCGCAGGTCCAGCCCCATCACGTCTGCTGGGTTAAGGCAGGTGACATTGTTGTACGAGTACACTGGAGTGTCCCCTTCCGTGACAGACTGCGTGTACCGCAGGACCACGGTGGGGTTCTGCAAAGCAAAGTCTCGTAGGCCTTTCAGCGAGCAATTGCAGTCCCATTTGTTCCTTTCTAGCCACAGCTGAGCCAGTCTGGGGGAAGGGCCCAGCCAACCCACTGAGAAGGTCCGGAGCGAGTTGTTCTTGACATTCAGATACTCCAGTTTCGATAAGGGCGTGAGGACGTCCCCGTCCAATGTCTCCAAGTAATTGTTGGAGAGGTCAAGCCAGGAGAGGCACCGAAGCGGAGTGAAGGCTTCAGGAGAGATTTCCAGCAGCTGGTTGGAGGACAGGAGAAGATACTCCAGGTTCCCCAGGCCCGCCAGCTGGTTGGGGAGGAGCCTGGTCAGCCGGTTGTTCTTCAGGTCCAGATCGAGGAGATCACGCAGATCGCTTAGGCTGTGCTCCTCAATCACGGCGATTGCGTTGTGCCGCAAGAACAGCAGGAATGCCCCGGCCCGGATCTCTTGGATCTGGTTGTCGTTGAGGGCCAGCACCTCCAGCTGACCCAGCTTCTCAAAACCCCTCTCCGCCAGGCTCCTGATCCTGTTGCTTCCCAGCTGCAGCTCTTCCAAGAACTGGAGGTCTCTGAAGGTCCTCGGCCTCAAGCCAGCGATCGAATTGCTGGAGAGGCGCAAGACGTGCAGCGTCGAGAGGCCGAAGAACGTGTCCTCGAACAGCGTGGTCAGGCGGTTATGGGACAGGTCCAGCCACCGCAGAGACTTCATGCCCATGAAGGCACGGGGGGCGACCGCGTTGATTTGATTGTGGTGCAGGTAGAGCTTCTGCAGCTTCTGAAGCTTCGTGAAGATGTTCCCTTTGATGCCCTTGAGGCTGTTCCCACTCAGGTCCAGCTCCCTCAGCTCGGTGAGGCTGTAGAACAGCTGATGCTGCAGGTAGTGCAGCTTGTTGCTGGCCAGAACTAGTTCCCTCAGGTTGGGCAGGTCGTGAAAGACTCTGTCCGGCAAGACCACCAAGGAGTTCCATCCCAGGTTCAAATACCAGAGGTTGGACAGCCCGGCAAACACACCTTCTTCCATCTTGGCGAACTGGTTGTTGTTGAGGTTTAAGGAGGCCAGGTTCTGCAGGTGGAGGAAGATGTTGGGCGTCAACGCTTTCAGACGGTTGCGTTCCAGGTATAAGGAGTAGAGCCCTTCCAGGCCATGGAAGGCATGCTGCTCAATGAGTGTCAACTGGCTGCCCTGAAGGTTGAGGAATTCCAGGTTGGAGAGGTTACGGAAGGTCAGGGCTGGCAAGGAGGTGAAATTGTTGCCGTCCAGCCACAGCAGCCGCACGGCCCTGGGTACATCTCCAGGGATGCTCGTGAGGTTCCGAGAACTGCAGTAGATGCTGAGCTCATCGTTGCAGTCGTCGTGGCTGCAGAAGCACGGGCTGGGGCACTTCCGGCTTTCGGTGGCAGCGTGCTCTTTCGCGGCTCCCGCTTCAAGGGGCTGGGATCCCGCCACCAAGGCCCAGGTGAGAGCCAACGTCAGGACTGCTTCTGTTGGGCAAAGAAGCAAAGGTGAAGCTGGTAGGCTAGCAGAGGAACAGTGGTAAGGTAAGAGTAAAGGTAAAGGTTCCCTTGCTCGAAAGCCAGTCAAGTCCGACTCTAGGGTTGCGGTGCTCATCTCTGTTTCCAAGCCAAAGAGCCAGCGCTGTCCGAAGACGTTTCCGTGGTCATGTGGCCGGCATGACTAAACACCAAGGCGCACGGAACGCTGTTCCCTTCCCACCGAAGTGGTCCCTATTTATCTACTTGCAATTTCTTGCTTTCGAACTGCTAGGTTGGCAGGAGCTGGAACTAGAGACGGGAGCTCACTCCGTCCTGCGGCACACTCAGGTCTCGAACTGCTGAACTACTGACCTTCCACAGCCTGCAGTTCAGCGTCTTAACCACTTGAGCCACCGCAGCTCCTAAGGTAAGAGTGCAAAGGTGCAAAAGAAATCTGGACGTTTACACAGTGGTTCTGCACGGCCACGCGGGGCTCATGTGATTTTTGTATACCGTTTTGGATTGTAATGGCCAATGGCTACACAATAAATTTTACTACTACTACTACTACATATGATTTCAGCTTTTGTTTAAAAAAAAAAGCGTTTCTAGCCCTCAAGGCTGCAACAGAAAGCTGTCATAGGTCAGACTTTGTAATAATATGGGTACTCCAAATGGCATCACAGGTGATGGTTTTGGACCTGGATTTGAACGTGGAACCTGTGAACAAGTCAGCCATGCGAAGCTTTGCCACACGTCTAACCACTCAGTGCCAAGAATGCTTTCCTGCAAGTTAAGTCCCACTGGACAGACTTCAGTAGAATTCTGAACAAATCACCTTCACATTGCTCTTTAAATCCGACTCACGCACCCAACCTTCCTTCCAGCCTGTCTGTTGACACCTGCACGGGTATGACATGGACCTCCACTAATTCCCCAGAGAAAAGCAGACAAAACACTGTGCTCCTGTTGACGGGTGATTTTTCTTGCGTCTCTCCAGTGTAAGCACAGATAAAGGGACTATGTGAAAGCTAATGTCCCTCATACGTAACCGTCCTAAAAAATTGAGGATTTAGCGACAACTGGCCTGAGCTCAAATAATGTGAATGAAAATTGCAGGCCATTTCTTTGAATTAGATGAAATGATGTGAACAAATCCATTAATGGTTTGATAAACTAGGGCCTGGGTCACACGGGCAGGAAAACGCAGGGGGGGGGGAGCGTGGCTGTTTGCCCCGGGGCAAAATAACACGCAGTTGCGCCAGCAGACGTACCGTGGAGGTCCCATGGAGGTCCCGTGGTAGGGGGGAGGTGCCGAGCACACCACAATCCTGCGGCGCAGCAAAGAAGCGGTGCGGCAAACGGGTGTTTTTTTCCCCGGACACTAAAGTGTGCGCATGCCCCGTTGGGTGTTTGTGCGCATCCCATGGACAGTTGAAAAAAAACCCCTTTATATGAGGGGGCATGGGCAGGCGCCGGAACTACCACCGGAAACGCGATCAGACGCCTGCCCTTGCCCCGCGGTTAACGGAAACTAGTACCTCCGAGGTACTAGTTTTTAACCTTGCATCTTCGACAGGAAGCCTCGGGTGAGCCACGGGAGCTCTACGCTTCCCAGATGTGGCGGTGAGATCGCACCCGGAAAATCCGCCTGTCTTCCGTCCCTCTAGCGTGCCTAATGCTCCGTGTGACCGCAGCCTAGGTGAAGCTTACGGAATGCATCCATCAGCAACATCAAACTCTCTTTGGCCAGGGCCAGGAGTCAGTGGGACAGGTCTCCCTTTTCCCAGTCCACATCTGGGTTTTGTTTAGCAGAGTACAGAATCTGCCCAGGCTTACTTGAGGGTCTCCTTGTAAATGGGGTATGAGACCTTCCCTCAGTGGCTTGGGAGCAGCCAGTTCCTTGAAGACACCCCTTTTATGGGGATGGCTCCCGTCCCAACCCTAATAGGTACACTTTGAGAAGATTGGTCGCAGTTTCTGTATGCATGGCTACAAATACAGCAGCCTGCATGTAGATATCTCCCCCCCCCCAGCTATAAAATGTGGTTTATTCCTAAATAGGAAACAAGGCAGTCTCTCTGCTGTCCCAGGCCTGGTTTATGGATGCAACCAAAGGAGGAGGTACAATGGACTATCACGAATAGTTCCGTTTAAATGGGAAATCTGGACAGCAGATAAAGAGCTAGGCTAGAACTTCATTCTCTCCTCTCTCTGCCTGGGGCGCTATATTTTATTCCCAGAGAACCTGTATAGTCAGTTTCTGTGAGTATGGTCTCTGTACTTTTATTTGTTACAGTTGGATTTTACATCATTATTTTTCAACTTGCACTTTCTGTGTTTCACAGCCCCTTAATCCTGCTGCCCCCCCAATAATTTTGTATATAAAGATCTGCCTGGTAAGGCCTTGGGACACTTCACAAATGTGGGCTCTAGCCCTTGGAAGCTTAGGCGGGAAGGAAACTGTGCTCACCTTTAAGGTAGCAGAAAGCTTGATATTTGCTTTCTTTCCTGCAACAGACTTAACTGTGCAGTCCTAAACGGAGTTACACTCTTCATAGCCCATTGACACCAATGGATTTAGAAAAGCATCACTCTGCTTAGGACTGCACTGTAAGTTGGTTAAACGTAAAGGTAAAGGTCTCCCTTGCTCGAAAGCCAGTTGAATCCGACTCTAGGGTTGCGGTGCCCATCTCCGTTTCAAAGCCGAAGAGCCAGCGCTGTCCGAAGACGTTTCCGTGGTCATGTGGCCGGCATGACTAAACACCAAGGTGCACAGAACGCTGTTACCCCTCAGGAATGGCTGTGACTTGCACGGCTCCCAGCAACTAGCCCAGGTGCAGACTTGTAGGTGCGCAGCCATAAAGAGACATGGAAGAAGCAACGGCTAGGAAGTCCGTCCTCTTACCTTTTCTCATGCTTGCCGGTCAACGGTTGGCAGCCAAAGTTCTGCAGGGCAGTCCAGAGAGGCAGCCTCTGCTGTCTGCATTTCCCCCCTACTGATAACGTAGCGGTACAGCAATTGCTTTGACACTTGTCCAGCCGGGGCTGTTTTCCTTAACCCTTCTGGTACTGGTTAGGAGTGCCAGGCGGAGTCGAGTCACCAGCGCAAGCCGTGTTAAGGCCAAGCGAGAGAAGCTTGGCTGGGAAAAGGGGACTCCGCCCAGAAGAATCGCTCCCAGGGATCAAGTATTCGCGGCAAGGATCTGGAGCGCTGCCTCACTGTAACTCAGACCGTCGGTCTATCTGGCCTGGGCCCCGTATCTAATCTGGCTGGCCGTAGGTCTCCAAGGTCTCCGGCAGAGGTCACGCCCAGATCTACTACCTGATAGCATTTAACTGGAGCCGCTGTAGATTGAAGAGAATCTGCAAACAGAGCATAAGCTGTGGCCCTGTCAAGGATTCCAGGGGGTGCTGGAAAGCTGGAACGGATTCAGAGGCCATGGATGAAAAGAATGACAGAATAAGAGCCCTGCCAGAGGAGACCTTCTAGTTCAACATCTAGCCCAATGAGAACCCCCCAGAAGCAGAGTTCCCTCTAAGCTGAGTCAGTGTGAGCCAGCTCACGGTTTTTGAGCCTCCAGCTCACACATTTTTGTCTTAGCTCAGGAAGGAGGGCTCCAGAGCAAACCGATTTATGCAGTAGCCAAGTGGCTTGCTCACAACTTTAATGCCGGGAGCTCACAAAGTAGAATTTTTGCTCACAAGACTCCACCGCTTAGAGGGAACATTGCCCAGAAGACACACAAACAGGGGCACAGAGGCTCTTTGCTGCTCCTCTCCATTCAGAGATACACTGTCTCTGAACCTGGAAGTTCCATTCACCCACTATGGCTAACAGCCACCGACGGCACTATCTTCCACGAATGCACACAGAAGCCGATTCAGGGGTCTGTGACAACATCTGATAAGGAAAAAAAATCATACATGCTGGATATATCGAGCACAGAGTGGGATGCCAGGCTGATTGTTCAGGAAGAAGAAGAAGAAGAAGAAGAAGAAGAAGAAGAAGAAGAAGAAGAAGAAGAAGAAGAAGAAGAAGAAGAAGAAGAAGAAGAAGAAGAAGAAGAAGGAGGAGGAGGAGGAGGATGGATTTATATCCCGCCCTTCACTACCCAAGGGAGTCTCAGAGCGGCTTACAAACTCCTTTCCCTTCCCCTCCCCACGACAGACACCCTGTGAGGTGGGTGGGGCTGAGAGAACTCTTGACAGAAACTGCTCTTTTTCAAGGACAGCTGTGCCAGAGCTTGTGACTGACCCAAGGTCACATCAGCAGGTGCAAGTGGAGGAGTGGGGAATCAAACCCGGTTCTCCCAGATTAGAGTCCGCACACTTAACCACTACACCAAACTGGCTCTCAGGGTAGAGCAGCAGGCAATGCTTTTAAATCACCACGTGCTACCTTTAGGTTAAGCAGCAGAAAAGACTAATATTATGACTATCGTCCAGATGGAAACTGACTTGGGAGTGTTGCGAAATCGCTTCCCTTCCACCATGTTGTGTACAGAAAGCAGACCACTGAAAAGGAGGTGTGGACAGTGAGTATATTGTTAGTTTTCACAACTCCAATAGAGCCTCAAGGTTCCAGACAAAAGAATCATCTCAATAAAGTTCCATTAAAGGTAAAGGGTGAAGGTTTCCCTTGCTCGAAAGCCAGTCGAATCCGACTCTAGGGGTGCGGTGCTCATCTCTGTTTCCAAGCTGAAGAGCCAGCGCTGTCCGAAGACTTCTCCGTGGTCATGTGGCCGGCATGACTCAACACCAAGGCGCACGGAACGCTGTTACCTTCCCACCAAAGCGGTACCTATTTATCTACTTGCAATTTCTTGCTTTTGAACTGCTAGGTTGGCAGGAGCTGGGGCCAGAGACGGGAGCTCACTCCGTCACACACAGTATTAGGGTCTTGAACTGCCAAGCTACAGACCTTCTGGTCTGCAGCTCAGTGTCTTCCATTATAATCACAATAAATAAAATAAAATAAAATAAATAAATGCAGTCAATAAAAAAGTAACCAGTAATTTTAAACAATGGCATCTCAAAAGAAATCTAGAATGGTCTGACCCAAGTGTCATGACTTCGGTGTTCTACAAAGTTCACTGAAGAGCAAGCCACTCTTTGGAGCACAATTCAGAACATTGGGGCAGCCACCAAATAGGCCCTGCTTGCCACCCTTTCTTGAACTCTAAACAGATGGTCCTTCTCCAATGATCTTAGAGTGAATGTGGCTATATGTGGGAGAGGCAGGGCAGCACTAAGAGGTGGTGGCCATGGTAAGGAGTCAAGCTGCAGAGGACAATGGAGAGGCTGCCATGGTGCTGTGACCGCTGCAACCTGGTATGTGTTCCTGCATTCACCACAGCTAGGGCTACTAGCAGGAGTGAACTGGGCTGTTAAAGTGGCCCCAAAGTGAGCCAAGTCATGTGGTGCCAGCAAGGGTTGCTTGGCCCAGAGGTGACAATGATCACAGGCATAGATTCCTCCAGGTAAGCCTTTGCCCATCACAAGTATATCTTCTGCCAAAGTGCAAGCTAAGCGACCCCTACCAGCATCATGGGGACCAATGTTCCCTCTAAGCTGTGGAGTCTTGTGAGTAAAAATTCTACTTTGTGAGCTACTGGCATTAAAGTTGTGAGCAAGAGCTTTGGCTAATGCATAAATTTGTTTGCTCTGGAGCTGTCCTTCCTGAGCGAAGACAAAGATGTGTGAGCCAGAGGCTAAAAAACTGTGAGCTAGCTCACTCTAACTCAGCTTAGAGGGAACACTGATGGGGACTTGGCTTGGCTTGTTCCGGGCCACCAGAACTGCTGTGTCACAGTCCTTAGAGGGTCGGAACAGGACCTGAGACAACTGGGTTCCAATCCCCGCTCTGCCATGGAAAGTCAACAACAAGTGACCTTGGGCCCACAGTAAACTCTCAGCCAAACCTACCTCACAGGATGGTTGTGAGGAGTGGATAATGATGTGATAAGTCACTTTGGGCCATGAAGGAGAAAGCAGGATATAAATTTTAAAAATAGAACAACAACAATAATAATAATCATGAAAAGAAAGCTTAGCTGTTCACAGAGCACAACGGAACGCCACCACCCAGCCAGCCAGAACTGGAAATCCCTCAGTCAGTGGCCCTCCAAAGCAGATGCCTGCTGGAAATTTCCCTGGTAGGCCAAAGGGCCAACCAGTCTTGAGCTAGTAGCCTGAGTCAAAGAGGCACATTCACTGCTGCCATCAGATGTGTTAAGTCGTGAGCTTAACAAAGAGTCGGAGAGTGATTTCAGCAAGAATGCGGCTTTTATTCTTCAGCTTCAATACTTCTCCAACACGGTACAACATCAGTCAGCCAGAACAGCTTTAACATTGCAGCTGCTCTGTATTTAAACATTCCCGGCTAATGTAGCCACACCTACTGTACAATTACCAATCTATCAGGTTGAACAGATAACGACCAATCACAAGCGCTCCCGCTCTGTGAAGTGATTGGATGACACATCCTGGGCTAGTGCTCCTATTGGTTACATTAGGATCCTAGCCCAGACCGAAGCTTTACATCGCACTTCAATGAGATATTCGCATACATCAAGTTCCATATAGTTCATGCATTCACGTCCATCCTCAGCCGCCCTGAGCCTTCGGGGTAGGGCGGGGTATAAATTTAAATATAAATATAAATAAATAAAAATAAAATAAAATCTGAATACATAACAAGATGTGCTTTAAGGGCACATTGTCACTAAAATCCTATGTTGGCCATGACTTTCCCCAAACAACCTTGGGGACTCTAGTTCTGTCAGGAGCTGGGCGTCCTTCCTTAAAGGCTCCCCCCCCTCCCCTTCAGTTCCTTGGAAAGTGGGAAATAATGACTGAGAGCCGAGGATTAAGCTGAAATGCCCTGGTGTAGAATTCAAAACTGTGAAGTTTTCTCCCCCCTTTAAATGTGCGAACTTTCTTGTATTCCAGGTCATTTCCCCCACTGGCCCTTTCCTAACCAACAACGCAAAAAGGAGGGAAAAACCCAACCCTCTGCAATAGTTTCTAAGAAAAAGTCACAATGGTGTGGGCTGCAGAATGCTGGTGGGCAGAACTATCAGCAGCCTGAGGAGCTTCATGACGGTCACAGCAAAAGGCGGCCCAACTGAAGGAGGTGGGAGAATGTGCTGTACCACTTCAGGCAGTAGTAGAGATGTTAAATTTCCGGAAATTTTGAAGCTCGGAAAAAACCCCGATTTTTCCCGAGTTTTTTTCGGGGGGGAAACGGAAATTTTCGGAAAAATCGAAAAAATGTTACATTAGCATTTCTTTTGTCTTTTCTAGATTGAAAGTCATTCTGTTACTCTAGGAACATAAAACATGACTATGGACATTTTTACTTGGCATGAAATTATCACAACTAGCATATTAAAAATATAGTGTATCCAAACAATTATTACAAACAGAATACCCACCCACATGCAAAAACAAAACTGAAACCTTTTTATTTTCTTCTGACAATAGCACCTCCTAAAGGAAGAAATGCATCTTGTTCTTGCATTGGAGAGTTCAGTTTGTAACCTAGGACTTGCTTGTCCTCAGTGCACAGAAATTAGATCAATCTGATACCATATATATATATATTTTAGAAATGATTTGGAAAACATTTGAACACCTTGTCTTAAAATATTTTATTCATCAGGTTAAAATAAAACGTTCCATAATCAAAAAATTTTCTTTTCTTTTTTCAATTTTTCCAATTTTTCTGAAAAAAACAAAACAAAAAAGGCTTCAGGAAAAAAACGTTTTTCCCCCGAATTTTTCCGGGTTTTTTTCCGGGCCTTCACATCTCTAGGCAGTAGGCATGGTGTGTGTGTGTGTGTGTGTCACATTTTTACATTACCCCCATCACAATTTTAAAAAATATGTTACAACAGGGAGGAAAGTTTCAGCG